GACCTTGACTTGAATGTGGCTAGAGGCATTTTATCTATGCTCTTTGCTGAAGGGACAATAGCCATATGTTTTGTCCCCCTTTTATTTTTATTTTTTTTTAGATTTTTTTATTTTTTCCTTTTTCTCCCCAAAGCCCCCTGGTACATAGTTGTATATTCTTTGTTGTGGGTCCTTCTAGTTGTGGCATGTGGGACGCTGCCTCAGCGTGGTTTGATGAGCGGTGCCATGTCCGCGCCCAGGACTGGAACCAACGAAACACTGGGCCGCCTGCAGCGGAACGCGTGAACTTAACCACTTGGCCATGGGGCCAGCCCCTGTTTTGTCCCCTTTGCCCCTTCCCCACCCAAAAAACTCTCCCACTAGGCTTTGACTTTTAAATATGTTTGGTTGTATTAGAGCCTTTCCTGAAAGCAGATTTGGGGCAAAGTGGGAAGAAAACATAATGACCCTGACTACTTCGGGACATATTTTAACTCCTAGATGTGTTGGTGTATGGTGCGATAGGGATCTTTCTAGTCTTTTCTCTAACACGATGCAGATACATGCAGATAATAATTTATCACTAAGTATCCTATCTTTTAAGGAATATCATGACCACCCTCGTATGGGAAAGTAAACTCCTAGAGAGTTAGAGACTATGTTTAAATAAATCTTTGTGTGCTGTGCCTTAGGCACTTAATAACCAAACATGGCTATGGATCTTTTGAAATCCAAGGCTCTATCTCGTTCAGATAAATTGAGCAAATATTTCATCTGGATGAATATCACTACTCTTTTAAAAGAAATTTAATGGAAACTCATTCTTTAATCCTGGGTTTTAACATTTAGCTCTCCATTCCTTTAAATAGCACTGCTTTATAAACTCTGACAAAGAAAGAACTCAAAAGAACCTAAATGACCCTATCTTAAATCCTCGCCACTATTCCATTGTTGGCAACTTAACTCTCACAGTGAACAGACTTTCTCATCGTGAAGCACAACATAGTTCCTGTCAATCAATTTATGTTATTTTTCATTAATATTAGTCAAACTAGGTATGGAGAATTCAAATGTCTAAAACTATCTGAAAGAGGAAAAACATTACAAACCCAGAGGATAAACTGGAATTGAAAGTAGAAGATGAGAACCAGCCAATATAGGTGAGAATCCTGTACAGAGTACAAAGAAAAAAAAAAAACTTCCCCTCAGACAAGTCACCTTCTGAGAACTTACCCTGTGACTCTCCTCTTTTCTTTGCCGTTTTTCCAAAAATTAAAAAATAGCTTTAAAACATCAAAGATACTATGCAGAAGTAAACAACAGGTGAAGAAAGGAGCTCTGGACTTAAATGAGGCAAAAAAAATAAAGTATTGTCAGTATATCTCAAGGTTTATTTTAGTCTTACCAGGGTCAATCACACTGACATAGCAGGAGACATTGTAAAACAATCAGACAAGAGTCTAAAATCCACACACCAAAGCAGTGCTTGATTTTGGAGACACACTTCATTGCTTCTAAGAATTGAAGGCATCATCCTCTAGTGACTTTTAAGGATATCAAGTGATAGGATGCAATGTTTGGGAAGTCTCCAGTTATTCAGAATGATTTGTTAATGCTATTCCCAAAAGTATACTGAATACGCTCAGCCAGACTGTGAAAATAAAGGTTGTGCTGGAGGGTATTCTGTCCAAGCATGACATTTTCACAAGTGGCAAGATTCCCGGAAAAATTGTTCACTAATCAAAACCTGGCATTTTCAATAAATGTAGTATTGAGCCTCAAGGTAACACATAACTAAACATGTATACTGGAGGAAACAGATGGGGAAGTGTACAGAAGCCTAGATCAATACTTTTGCTTACAAAATCTAGAATTTACCTACATAAGAGCTGATTTCTGAGTTAAGGGGTCACAAGATGTTAAGTCAAGTTTTCTGGCTTCATCCTCTTTTTGCAAGAGAAATTATTTCACTTCATTCTGATATTTTCTTAAAGACATATGCCAAGACAAAGAAATCCATTTTTTTCCCATAAATGTATTAGGTAATTTTAGTTGGTTGGATTAAGGATGGCTCTATAAATAGTATTTACACTATATAAAAAATATTTAAAGTATTGAAAATAGAGCCAATCAGTTAAAATTGTCAAAATCTACAAGGTAAATATTCGGAATATATATTCATCTGTCACCTATATAGTGCATGACTTTAGCTATTATTAAGAGTTTTTTTTTTAAAGAGTAGTGAAATAGTACTCAACAGTTGAAGAACTTCATATTCGAACTCAGCAGTTAACTTTATTTCTGCCAGCATAAGTAGCTAGTGAGACTGGAAAACTGCAGCATCTCTCATTATTTGGGTCACTCCACATTTTGTAAATTATCCTAGTAATTCCACTGGAGGTCTCTCTACTTTCTGGGATCCATTAAACTTTTCTTGACCAGATGTCTACAGAAATTCCTTTGCCTGCAGTCTCTAGCTGATTTGATGGACGATATCTAAACAGTCTATGAAACGTTAACTTTTAGGATTTTTTTTCTATTCTAACCACTTTAACTTTTAATTTTCTGATGACACAGAAAACTAGTAAAAGCAAACAGGCAGAAATCGAACATCATCTATCGGTATCAGTTCAGTTCAGGTATTAAAAGAATCCAGATGTCAGCTGGTACTGTCAAAGGACTCACAAGCGAATACTGAAGTTTAACTCCCATAATATTCACGGAATTTTCAAGTTCCACCCCTCACGCTCTCCTCCCACTCTCAAACTTGTGTGCCAATTCACGTTCGTGTAGACATGGGAAAATTACATTTCTTCTGCCTTGGAGATCAATGTAGAGACAGGCATCACATGTCAGTCATCTCAAGTTGTCCGGGAAGAGGCTCAGAAATGTGTGTCTCTTGTGTCTTCTACTTTTATTTTCCCAACCCGTTATGAAGTTTGAAACAGAAAGATGCCTGAGTCTCAAACTTATTAACCTGACATTGTGCTATTCCACTCTAAGAACCCCATTAACTCCCACCAGAAATCAGAGTGATGTGAACTCTGTCTCGCAGTGCAACCATCTGTAACCCCCTAACACAAACACAAGAGGTGGGATGGGGTGGGGGTCAAAGGAGGAGGAGGGAAAGGGCTCGGGAGAAGAGACTCACCGCTCCTGCCAGTTCCTCTGTCAGGCACAACGTAACAAGCAGCAGCCACAACCTGAAACGGGAGGGAGGGTGAGTAACATGGGCTCTCTAGGCTCCAGGGTCCTGCGTTTGTCCATAGACCCCGGACCCTTTTTGCTGCCTGCCCCCACTTTCTCTGCAGTGACAGAAGTTCAAGTATAGTCCCGGTCTGGCAAAGTAGCCTAAAGTAGGAAAGAGGAGGGGAGCTCGGGGCAGCAACAGCTCACCCAGGGTGCATGCTTGCGGCTCCTCCGGAGCTGGGTCCCGGGAGACTGCTAAGCGGCTTGGCGGCCCTGGCTCATAAGGGCTCCGCTGATGCTTGGCGGCTGCTTCCTAATTCAGGAGGACGGGGTAGGGGGGCGAAGTGGCTCACTTCGGAAGAAACTAAACTCAGCTCCTAGATAAGAAGTGCCCCAAAGGGAAACACGCTCAGCGGTGCCCGCTACAACTTGCCGCACTCAAAAGATAGTTCCATGCACCAGGAGAGGAAGGAATGGAGGGGAAGGGGGCGGGGTTCTCTGCTGTCAATCATCCCCCCTACCTTGGGCAGCCGGTCGTCTTTCTCACTTGCAGGGGCCTCTACATATAACATTCCCACGCATCTCCATAGCTTCAGGCAAAAGCCCATTGAGACCTATACGCTGAGATGTAAGCAACTATGCATCATACACTTCCATAAACCACTAACTGTTACACATATATCGATTAAGACATACGACTTCTACATAGACAAATGAGCCCCAAGTGTCCTTGCACACTTGCCCAAAATGCATACAACACTGATTCTAATTGATTGTATACTAAGCTCTTGGGGTGGTGGTGGCTTCTGGAGTTGTAAATCTACCCTAAGACAAGTAGAACCTAAGGATGAGTGGGCCCCCATGAAATAAGTCCAAAGCCTTGAGAGACTCTAAAGTGGTAAATTCTAGGGTCTAAGATAACAGAGCTGTTCTGAAGAATTCTTCAGCAAATCGCTGAAAGACCCTCCAAGGAGTCCACATAAAGTGTTTTCTGGGCCTGTTCGTACTTTAAATAACCTATATGTCAGAATTACCAAAGTAGTGTTCAAGTCTATCTGGGAGACATCAATTCGACTGCCATTAACTCCATATAAATATTTCCAATTAGGTTTTTGTGTTAGTTTCAAGGAAAATTGCACTACCATTATTTAATTTCCTGTCCTAAATCCCTCTGAAACAACTGCAATGAGAGTCAATATCTTTTTTGTTCGTTCAATATGAGGTAGATATTAATTATAGCATCCAATGTAGTAAATAAAAAGATATGATTGTATTACAATAACATTCAACCATATAATAATATCTACTGAAAGCTCCAAAATCTTATATGTATGTAATATGCATAAAGTCTTCGCATGCCTATACATATATTCATTTTCTTAATTCTTTGGTTACAAGCATACATTTATATAAATATATTTATATATTTACAATATTTTCGCATATTCTGTTGTACGCAGAATCTCTGCCCTGCGATCAGGTGGAAGGCAAAGAACACCAGCAGCCCAAGGAGCAGCGACCAAAATTTGTTTCTAATCATTAACAATAAAAAGGCCCGTTCCTCTGAGATCCATCCGCTAAAAAAATAGTCCCAGCTCAGGTCTATTTGTAATTGGCTTTAGTGCTCATACCAATGAGAGTAGGACTGGGCAGGGGAGAGTAGTATCGACGGAAGGTGCAAGTGGACGAATAGAAAGGCTTCCTAGTTGGGCTCATGGTGCTCAGTCGACTGGTCTGGAAGTTTCCCTCCCCCAAATAACTGAGCGTCACTCCCTCGCAGGTTGCTGATACAGTCTAAAGCTGTGGCGGAGTGATCCTCAAATTCCCCGGTGCTGGTGGGGAGGGGGCGGTGCGGGAGAAGAGAGGGAGGAAAGTAGATCTGTGGGACTTGCGTGAGGAAAAAGTTTGCAAGTCTGGACAGAAGGGAAAAGTGCTTCCGAGAGACTAGCTTTGGGGAGGGGAGGGGGGAGGGAAGAATAGCTGCTGCTTCTTTTTTTTTTTCCCCTCCACTCTTAAAAAGCTTGTTTCTCCTCACCCAAACCGACCGGCACAATTGGGACACCCTCGCTGTCCCTCTCCGGCTCTAGCTCTCTCCCCATAAACCCTCGAGATTATGTCAATTGGTCAGAGCCAGCCAGGGATTTCGTGCGGGTGCTGAAGAAGCTGCAGGAGCCGGAGAAGAATGAAACTGCGTGGAGTCAGCCTGGCTGCCGGCTTGTTCTTACTGGCCCTGAGTCTTTGGGGGCAGCCTGCAGAGGCTGTGGTAAGTCCTTCCTTCTACCTCCCCCCGCCACCCCATCACCTCATTCTCAAGCGGAAATCACTTTTTGTCCCTTTTACCTTACTTTCTCCTCGACCTTGGCTAGGGAATTCAAATTTGCCTTCACTTGTTTAGGAAGAAACATTATTTACAACGCTGGTAACTCAAGCCTTCGGAAGACCAAAGGAGAGATTCAAGTGTTTAAAAATAGGGCTGCTGGCTTTTCTGCAGCTAGCTGTTCGGGGGCAAGTGCAGAGCCTGAGGTGGGGAATGCATGTTCAGAGATCACTGGGCTCTGGGGGGTATTTCAAACTTTTCCTCCCCACCCTCCGCCCTCGGGTGTTTCCCTGCCTGCCGGCTAACCTTTTCGCTAGTTGTACCCAACCCACGCACTCATTAAACTTTCTCTATAGTTTAATATTTTGGCTTTTCTAAAATCCAGCTTCTATCAAAGCGTTAATCGTGCCCATGAAGGTCTTCCCTTTTGCCCTTTCCTTAAACAACGAACCTCCCCTCACCTCTGGTCAATAAAGCCTCTGTAGAGACTGTGTCCCCCTTTTGACATTCTGATTGCAAATGCTCAGGTAACACACTAGCAAGAATGAGGTGAAGACAGCTGTCCTCAGGCTTCAGCTCTTCTGCATCTTTTTTTATATATATATAAAGTTCTGGGTTTTTGTTTTTGTTTATTTTTTTTAAGCTTACTAAGGCACCTGAACAAATAGAGAATTTGCCCATCACCTATTTAAATGAACCAAATTCTCTTTTTTCAAAGGAGAATGAGCGTTCTGGCTTAAAGGAGAGTGGAGGAGGATGCACATGTGAAATGACAGAGCAGAACCTTCCACTCAGTGTTAAGAATGTAGAATTAAACCCTCCAGATATCTCCTAGAAGAGTATCTGGATAGTCCCACCCACTGTCCTTTGGGGGATGAGAGACAGATGTATAGGAACGAATGGCTTTGTCCGAGAAAATGTTCTCCAGCCTGAAGCTCAACGTCCTTAATTTCACTTAACTTCTAAAGAATTAAGTACGTGATAAATTATGTAAAAGTTATATTTGAGTGATCTTAATGAGTGTTTTTAAAAACACTTTAATGTGAGATCATGGCTTAGGCCTTCACATGGTTGAATGACTATCAATTCTTTATATGCAGCTGCTATATTATAACTTATCTGGGTCCACTTTTAAGTTAGCTGTCTAGCTTCTCATACACTCAGAATGCCTCAGATTACATTGCCCTCCTAGCCTCCAGAAAGTGTGTACTCAAGGTATGAAAACTAACTTTCATATTATTCTAAGCACAACATAATTATGATAGCAAATCTGCTGAAAAAACCATGCACATCAAATATTTTTAATTACACTTATACTTCTTCCTCCATCAAAGTAGATAGATAATTTAAAATTGCTTTTTAATGCAAACCATCTTAATAGGGTAAGGTTTAGCCACTCAATAGTGCTACAGACCCTTGGTAAAACCACAATTGTCTTGCTGAAAAGAATTGCTTTTAAAAACATCTTCTTGGTGCTTACTACTTATGGCGTTTGGCCCAGGGGCAAAGATTTTGCGGCTGTTTAAGTATTTCTGATTTTTTTCTTTTGAAAATGCTTTTAATAAATGTGCACCAGTTACCAATCATACAGGTATGTATAGCAATATTATACATCAATTTATATTAAATCAGGTTTTCTTAAAATGAGATTTCTTTTTATGATTGACAAAACGGGAGCAAGCTTGTTTTCTTGGACTCTAACAATTGAGTGTTCGTGAAGAAATTACAGAAGACACTATGCAGTTTTTCCCTTTTTCCTTCTTTGTAATTTTTAAAGAACATTTCATATCCCATTTTCCTATAATAAGATATTATGCCTCTAATAAAACTAGGGGTTTGTTTTTTCTGCTTCACACGTCAATATCCTAGTTAGATGAATGTTTTAATCATCTCAAAGATATGAATGGTATCTGCTCTCCATACTAGTGCTGGGGATATTGGTGACCTTCTCCAGAATAAACTACATGGTAGTGGGGCTGGTTGTTGACCAAAGTAGTCTAATATTGGGACTTTTATATCAGGAAGAGCATTAATACTTAAATTGCTTTAATTTTTCTTAGTTAAGTCGTGCCAAATTGGAATATCACAAATATGTGGAAGATTTTTTTAGGTAGAGTGTTTATTAGTAAAATAAAGTAACCCCTATGCCAAAGGTTAGCAGTAAGAGAAAAAGGCAGCGTTAGGTCTGAAAGGTCATTTCTAGAGATGGAAATAATGTATTTTTATGTAAAGCTAATTATACCTGTACTGACATTGTCAGTAGGAAATGCACTCAGATTATGGATATGGTGTATAAAATTATACTACTACTGTACAAATGTTAGTAAGTTTTTTTGTGCAGTAGAATGGATGGGTTTCTCTAATTTAAATGTACTATTTCCTCATGATCAGTGGCAACAACTCATTAGGGGTAGTAGTGTGGTTTGTGGCCATGGAACGGTTTTTCCTCTATGAAGTATACAGCTCCATAGGAAGAATTTGTCGGCATTGCTATCATAACTTACATTTTTGAGTGTTTACTATGTGCCAGGCACTGTGCTAATATAGTAATACAAATCATCATATTTAATCTTCCTGACAGACCTATAAGGTATATATCATTGTTATCTCCTCTTTACAGATCAAGAAGCTACAGATCATAGAAGTTAAGTAACTTGCCAAAAGTCTCATAGGTAGTAAGTTGTGGAGCTGGAAATTTGAATCCAGGCAGTTTGACTCCAAATTCTTTGCCCTTAATGAAAGTCCTATACTGCCTCCTTTGTATGTAGTCTGTGGAGATTTACTTGCTGTTCAGAGTATTTGGATCTCTGCTACTTTTGTTGTTGTCGTTGTGTGGGGAGACACAGGAGGTGAAATGGAAATGATAATGGGGATTACGTCTCTTCCTGCTGATGTCAGGAGAAGCAGCATGGTATAATGGAAATAGCTTTGGGCTTAGAATAAAAAGAACAGATTTTGATCTCTCCCTATATGTCTAAAGATAGATAATTTGAAAGCAATCTAGAAGCAATTGCTTGTTGCAGGTTGTATGATTTTATATAGTCACATATATAAAAAGTTAGATTTATAAAACAGCTATAATTTGTGGTAGATGAGTATTCTGAAGAAAGATTTGCCTTATTGTTTTGATTAGTCTGTTTCTATAATAATTTTAAATATACTGAACTTTTCAGGAGCGTATATATTATGATAAAACAGGATATGTGTATATGGTGGCACACTTTGCTTACAATGCCCAATTCGCTTTTATTGTTTTTACTAATTTACCTACCCATCATATCTAATTATATTCACTCAACTAGCTATAAAACTTTAGCCTTGCACATATATATATGTGTGTGTGTGTGTGTGTGTGTGTGTATCTGTCCTGTGACTGTGTAACAGTGTGTACATTTTTTTCCTTTGTTTTTATTTGACTTCTGATGTCTGTATATGCAACCCATAAAAATTTTTACCTTGAATAAAGCTTGATAGCTTGGTCAAGGTTGTGTCTGCCGGGTTTATCTACCGTAAAGTCACTGTTTTTTCCCTTTGTAATTACAAAGTGAGCAGATCTTGTGAGACTATGTAGGGTGATACGTGAGACAATGTAAATATCCTGTTTTTCATCCTACTTTTGCCCACTAATTTTAGCATCTGTTGAGGATTTTGGCCTGAATAATTATCGTTGTGACATTTGCCAAATGGTGATTTTCAGTTTTCAACACTTTCTGCATATTTTAATTTAATTCTAATGTAACAAAGACCTTTACCTTCTCTGATATTTATTTATTTAGTTGATTATTTATAGCAGTATGGACTTAGGGATATTTGTTTTATTCTATGAGTTATAATGAATTATTCTATTTTTACTATTTTTTGTTGACATTGCTCCAGATTTGGCCAATAGTTGTCCCATCCAGTTGCCTCCTGTGTCCTTTCAACATGTGCCCATCATTTTTTGAGCATTCCTTTATGTTCTGGCACCACAAGATGTTCTGGGCTCATTTTTGACCTGCCCTGCCCCAACCCTGGAATCAGCCATTTCTCCAACAGCTCTGATTCTTTTTACTGGATAATGGTGTTTAGAGATCAAGATCTGGGTGCTTAGCATGCTCATTGCTACTGAGTCATTGCTTCTAGGCCTTCTCAGCAGACGAAACTAGGAAACACATGTATATATACACAGACATATACTCACTTCCATATCTATTTCTTACAGTCTCTTTTTGTATACATATGTATTAAAAACCATGAATTGGTACCACTACCTCTAGTTTCAGTCCAAGACCAGAGAATAAACATAATCTTTGAAGTTGTGGCATCTCACTGCTTTCTGGTATCTTTCCTCAGACATGTTTTTTGGGCTTTGTAGAGGTCTTATACACAGTCTTTAAGAACTTGACTTATGGAGTCAGACTTGGAATCTGACTGAGAGGTGTGTGACCTTCAGCCAAGTACTAACCCATGAGCCTTGATTTTCTCATCTGCAATAGGGGCCAGTGGTTCCTATGTCACAGATTGTTTTGAGGATGAAAGAAGTTATGTAAAGCATTTAGAATAGTACTTGGGACATATTAAATGCTCAACAAATTTTAGATTTCATTATTGTCATTACAAACTGTTTATAGTCTTGCCATTTCTTATTGCATTAACTGTCAAATTCTCTGCCTGATTCAAGGCTTCTCATGATCTTTCCCTTCATCCAACCTTATTTTTCATTACATTTTACAGTATACTCCTCTGTTCTAGCCTAGGTGAGCTTTCCTGTAATCCCTTGAGCACTATATACATATTTTGGCTCTCTGTCTTGATTAGAATCCTATGGATCCAAGTCTTTGCTCAATTTCAGTGTAATGTTTACACTCATTCAAAAGATATTTATTCAGCAACTCATAACTTAAGAATTGCATTTATGTTGTTCTGTTTCCACCCTCATGGATATGTACTGACCACAAAATCATTTT